TCTCACCTGTCTCATACCTGTCCCACATGTCTCATACCTGTCTCATACCTGTCTCATACCTGTCCCACATGTCTCATACCTGTCTCACCTGTCTCATACCTGTCCCACATGTCTCATACCTGTCTCATACCTGTCCCACGTGTCTCATACCTGTCTCACCTGTCTCATACCTGTCCCACATGTCTCATACCTGTCCCACATGTCTCATACCTGTCTCACCTGTCTCATACCTGTCTCATATGTCTCATACCTGTCCCATGTGTTTCATACCTGTCCCACGTGTCTCATACCTGTCTCACCTGTCTCATACCTGTCTCACCTGTCTCATACCTGTCCCACATGTCTCATACCAGTCTCACCTGTCTCATAACTTTCCCACGTGTCTCATACCTGTCTCATACCTGTCTCACCTGTCTCATACCTGTCCCACTTGTCTCATACCTGTCCCACCTGTCTCTTACCTGTCCCACCTGTCACATACCTGTCCCACCTGTGTCATACCTGTCTCATACCTGTACCACCTGTCTCATACCTGTCCCACATGTCTCATACCTGTCTCACCTGTCTCATACCTGTCCCACATGTCTCATACCTGTCCTGCATGTCTCATACCTGTCTCACCTGTCTCATACCTGTCTCACATGTCTCATACCTGTCCCACATGTCTCATACCTATCTCACCTGTCTCATACCTGTCTCACCTGTCTCATACCTGTCCCGCATGTCTCATATCTGTCCCACATGTCTCATACCTATCTCACCTGTCTCATACCTGTCCCGCATGTCTCATACCTGTCCCACATGTCTCATACCTATCTCACCTGTCTACCTGTCCCGCATGTCTCATACCTGTCCCACATGTCTCATACCTATCTCACCTTTCTCATACCTGTCCTGCATGACTCATACCTGTCTCATACCTGTCCCACATGTCTCATACCTGTCCTGCATGTCTCATACCTGTCTCACCTGTCTCATACCTGTCCCACATGTCTCATACCTGTCCTGCATGTCTCATACCTGTCTCACCTGTCTCATACCTGTCCCACATGTCTCATACCTGTCCTGCATGTCTCATACCTGTCTCACCTGTCTCATACCTGTCCCACATGTCTC